AGGTGGAAAATCAGTTTGATTATGGAGTTAATTCTGTTTCATTATTGTTGAAAGCAAAGATCATATCTTATAAATCCTTTTTGAAAAAAGTATAATCCAGAAATAAACTTTGAAAAACGTCTAAATAAAAAAAAAAAGGTTCTGAGGGTAACTTTGCTGTTTTCTTTTCACTTCAAGCTAAACAGAGAGATTGACCAATAAAAATGTTGGCACTAACGTCAGCAGACCAATAGAAATGTTGGCTGTAATGTCTGTAGACCAATAGAAATGCATGTTCCATCCTCAGTTCAGAGGAAAGCCCGCCCCCAGAAGTAAAGAAAATGTGATCTGGAAAAAACAGTTTAAAGAAAAAACAATTTGTACAGCTATATTTATAAAAAAATAAAAATAATGAAATGAAACCTAAAAAATCAGCAAGTCACTTTCAGAATCTTCTTTTGACTAAGAAGTTTTTCAAAGTTTTATTAGTGGATTGCCAATTTAAAAAAAATCTCCATTTACAAAGTGTGTTATTTGCTTCTTTACTGGTTATAGTGATGTTTTCTAATCATTCTTAAAACCTGCTAAAAATAGAAAATCAAAATGTCTGAAGAGGATAAGCTGTTTAAAGGTTTTATGAGTGTTTCTAGTTTTTATCTAAATTTGACCATTTTGTAAAGAAAAGAGAAGATGGAAAATCAAATCATGCAGTGATTTCCAGCCTTTTTTCAAACTGTACTCCTGGAAACTTTTCTTATCTATAAAAAGTTCCAATAAAACCTGGAATTACTGAGCCAGAGGATAAAGATTACCATCCATGTATTAAGATTTATGTAAAAAGATGGACGTCATTCAGCCTTTTCAGCTTTATTTAAACTCCTTATGCCAGATTTACCTTTAATGTTTAAAGACTCAGAGTTTTCAGCCTCAATCTTATTTCTGTTTGATGATAAAGAAAAGGTTTAAAGTAATGAAGTTATTGTAAAGAAAACAGGAAAGACTCGTACTTAAATAAAGTTTGATCAAATGATTTTATCTTCCTGATTTCAAACATTTCATATTTTATTTGTTTCAATTCATAACTATTTTATTAATAAACTGCTATGACTTAAAAAAAAAGGGTTTTATTGTCTGTTAAGAACAACAAGCATTTTTTTTCTCACTCTGACATTAAATCTGTTAAAAACTTCCAGGTTTAGTTCAAGAATATCTGAATTATTTATGCCGTCCTTATTTCTCAAATTGAAAGTCTTACATAGATTTCCTTAAAATCTATTTATCAAATTTAAAATTGTGACTTTGGGTCCTTTCTTGTGGGGTTTTCTTGCTTTGTGGCTTCTCTCAGAATTTTGCATCAATCTGGGCCCGTTTTCCCTGACAGCGCTGGTTGGTTTGCCTCCTCGATCAAACACGCATTTTCAGCTCTGACCAAACGTTACCTGTCTGAGATCTTAGATCTGGGCTCGGTTCTGGCCGTTCTAATTTGCTCCATATCTTCTCATTTAACCACTTTACAATCATCTGGTTGTTTGCTTTGTTTTCATCATCAGAACTTTATAGAAATCCTGGTATATGGACCTGTAACTCTGATAGAAAATTCCCTAAACTATACTTTGCCAACGGTTGTTTACACTGGAAAAAATCTAAATCTACGTAAGTCATTTTTTCTTAGAATAAGTGCATTTCTTCTTAAATTGAGGAGATTAAAGAGACATTTTGCCAATGGAACAAGACAATTTAGATTTAAGATAAGAAAACACAATTGCATCTTCTTACTTCAAGTGCATTTCATCTAATTATCTTATTTTAAGGGTAAAAATACTCATTCCATTGGCATATTATCAAATGTACCTATTCAAATCTAGGGTAAATACACCTAATTTAAGAAATGTTTACTTATTTCTAGATCATTTTTGCAGTGTAGTAATCTTTACTGACATGAAAAAGAAGAATTTTAGTCTGATTTAATGTCAGCTTGTAGGAAAATAAATAGTTTCTCTCTTTTCATACAGTGTATGTGATTACCTCGTTCTGATTGTAGATATACACTGATTATATATATATATATTTTTTTTTTTTTTGCAAGTTGCATCTCCAGCTCAGACTTTCTGTGGTCATATCAAACCTTTGTCCTAATTTCTAACCCTAAGGTTAACCAATCAGTAAAGGAAGTGAGTACTAGCCAATAAGAAGCAGAGTAAAGCAAGCTTTACTATCCTAGGATAATGGGAAATTTGGCTGGGAGACTCTGCTTAATAGATCTTTGGGGATGTAGAAGTGGGTATATGTAATGCCAATGGAAAAATTAAGTGGGTATATGCCTTATACCCTGGACTACACCACTACTTACTGCTGCCTCAGAAGGTCCAGCCTTGCAGGTTCCTGAGTTAATCTTGAGTAACTTCACAGGTATTTTTTTTTTCGCTCCAAGGAATCAAGTTTTTTACTCTGTAATCAAAAAATTATAAGAACAGACTTTTCACCATTTGTTCTCAAACCTTCGTCTACACCTATTAACAAATTTTATGAGCTTTTATATTTTAACTTGTTTGAAGTTTGACTTCTGTCTGAAACTGTTAAAAAGAGTATGATATTAATGAAACTTATTAGGGTTGAACTTTCCTCCACTTACCTGTTTAAGATAGGCTCTGTGTCTGCATCTTGAAGCTCTATCTCTCTGGTTCTTTTTCCTGAAAAAAGATCACCCGGGTCAAACTCTTTAAAAAACACTTCATAACTTATATGTATTAAATAACCATGAGACATGACAACAGAATCTGATGGAAATTGTAATCTTACTCAGATCACAGAAGTTGCTTAGAGTAACAGCTCACCTCTCAGGAAGTGGCCCCGATTAACAGTTAAAGAAGCATTTTATACATCTCCAGTCTGCCACATCATCTTATTTTACATCATATACGTTAGTAAAAGAATAGACATCACGGCTTCAGTCTTATTAAAATATTACACTTTGTTCTTAGCTGAAGGATGCCGCTCTCATTACATTTCCAAATCTTTGCCACAGACAGAAAGAAGATTATAACTGTATATCCGGACAGAGGAACTGTCTTAATTAGATAAACTATTGTGGAAAACATCAGTTCTGACACGCAACAGGCAGGTAATATTAAGATGTAGCAAATTAGTAGGGATTTAATTTACAGACAGCAGTTTGATCTCTGGGAATCTGTAGATCGTACAGTATGTGTAAATTCTCAGTCATCCGGGTCATGGCAACCACAGATAGTCTTAAATTGGAAGGCAAAGTGACTTTTTTTTCAGTTTTTTTGAAGACGTTTCAACACCAATCCAGGAGTCTTTGTCGATTCTGTCGGCTCACACCAGAGCAATCTGTAGTTGGAGCACTGATGTAGCCTATTTAGGCATTATGCAGCCAAGTCTTGTACGGGTCTGAATTTTCAAAGCTGTATCCGCCCGCACCCGTAGAGTTCAGAACCTAGACCTGACCCGTTGCCCGCAACTATCCTAATTTAAACCCGGCCGGGAACCCACAGAAGTGCTACCCGACCCATGATCACAAAGTCTACACACCGGTTAGAATAACACACTCACATCCAGTGTGCTGCGCTCACAGATTAACAACCGTAAACTGGTTGAAGTGAGAAGGTTTGTCTTATTGCTTGAAGAAAATGCTGTTATCTGGATATTCTTGAATCAATTTATTCTTTAAGATTTAGAGTTAATAAATATATAAATAAATAAGAAAATATAAATAAATTTCATTAATGCTGTTATTCTGATACCTGCATTTTCAAAAAAGTAAAAAGTAAATTAAAATCAAGTTTTACAGGTTTGAAGACGTTTCGCTTCACATCCAGGAAACCTTTTCCATTCAAAATGTCTGGATTAACGTTAAAATCCGAGCTTTATAGAGTAGCCCTACAGCGCATTGTTATGGCTTGGAAAACATGCAAATTGAACCAGAAGAATAGATCCACCACTCAGTAATGGGGAGTCGTTGAGATCTTTGTCAGCCTGCAATACAGATACTGGCCTATGCCTCTGAAAAGGGAGTCTTTAGGGTCATTGTTGGCCTGGCTGATCAGGTGAGATGTTTTGGTGCTCTGCATAGCGAAGGGGGTTGAGATGGGAAGGAATAAACTCCATTGCTGCATTGTAGGTCATCAAAAGAGAACCAGAATGAGTCATTTTATTCTCTTATATCTGTACTTTAAACCCTGGTTTTCTGTTTTAAGTGAGATCTTTAATCTTCAATTAAATCTTTTTTCTTTATTTCTTTTTTCCCGACTGTTTCTCCAGTTCTGAGTATTGGAGAGGGTGGATTCTGGGAGGGCAGCGCCCGTGGACAGCTGGGCTGGTTTCCAGCCGACTGCGTGGAGGAGATCCCAGCCAAGGCCACCGAGGAGAGGACCTGTGAGTGACACTTTGGCTGTGTTGGTAACAGGATATATGACTGAGATCTGAGGAGCACATGTAGTGGAATTAGGGGAAAAAACACATTTTTAAAATTGAAATTTGAAAAATAAAATGCGATCCAGAATGAAAGTTCTTTTAATCAATAAAGGTTTTGAGAGTCACTCAAATAGATTTCCTTTAAATTTTTTTATTTATTTATTGGTTATATTTGATATTTTCTATTTTTTCTTTTTTTGTTCCTGAAAATAGTTTTTTTTTTATTATTCATACTCCTGTTTTCCCATTAGGTTTAAATGTGTTGTGTTTTTCTTTTTACTTGCAATTTTCGGATTATGTTGTCGTCACTTGTTGGGGTAGGAGTTCCTCTAAAGTGAAGAAGTTTCGATTGGTTTGTATGGATGTTAGAAACAACATTTTATTGGTCGGGGTTCATTCGTGTCAGACTTAAAGTGAAGTGAATACCATTTGTGAAAAGATATTTAAAGTTGAAAAAATTCCAAAATTTACATCTGAAAAATGGGAATTAAAAAGAAAAATCTAAAATATAATATCTATAAGAGGCATTTAAAAAAAAAAAAATAAAGAAAAAATAAATCAGAGAAACTTACTTTTGAAACCTTTTTTGATTCAAATTAAAAAGTGTGTTTTTTAATTTATATTTACAAACCTTTTCTTTGCTTGCAGCAATAATGTAACAAAATTCCTTCCATACAGGTTAGCACTGTAGCTAAGCCTGAAATGATGGACTCATTTCTTTACAAAACCTTAAAACATTTACTAGTTTTTACATTTTCAAAGTAGAAAAAGGGAACAAAAAGACGCATCGTAACAGTATTTCCACCTTCGACTGAGTCCTGATGCTTTGATGCAGCATGGATGAGGTTGGGGGGGCGGGGCCTCCATGCCATCTTGCTCGGATTTAAGAGTGATTTGAATCCCAAATGAAACAGAGTTTTTCTGCCCAAACATTCAGATCCAACATGCTAACCTTTCTCGATGGATCAGGTGCTCCTGTCGGTGGTTTTTGCACGGGACAGTTTGGCACCCTGACCCGTCTGCATTTCTGTATTTTTAAATCCAAATTCTTCACACCTCCTTATGTTTTGAATTCCAGAGCTTGATTTTTTTCATTCGCAACTCATTAGTGCACATTAACTTCCAAACTAAACATCTTAATGACTGTAATTAGTTCCTGTAAAAACGTTTTTTTTGCGTGTGATGGCACGTGGCTGGAGTTTGAGCAGCATGTGTGTCTTTCATTCTGTCTGCTCTTCCTCTCGTCTCTTCCCATCTCCCCCAGGCTGCCGTGTGCCGAGCTTAGCGCTACATTGCCCTGCTAACTCAGCTGTGCTCTTATTTCCTATGGGTGCAAGCTAATGAACTTGTCATGCCATGCTCCATCCCCCATAAACGTTTTCCCCGTCCATACGTTCACTTTGTGCCCAGGGAGATGTTAGAGACGTCTTCCTTCTCTCTCTACCGCTCTCTCTTTCTGTTTTCCATCTTGTGTCATGTTGTTTTCTTGCTTTGTTTAATTATTGAGATGAGTAAGCACAGAGTTAGCTCCAAACATCCATCAGCTCTGATCCAGGCAGACCGGCTCCTGTTCTTATGTTACTCCATTGCTTTTGCTGTTTGCCATTATTTGTGTGGCTCAGTGTAAAAGTTAAACCCAAGGCAATTGGCTGAGGAAAGCTCCCTCATGCTGTGCCTGGTCCAAACTGCCCCCAGGTCTGCCTGGAAAGAAAAGCCTGTCAGAAAATGGGAACACAGTATGGCGTCCTGCAAAGAGCCATTCAGGGGCGGCTTCGGTCAAAGCTTCAGATCAAATGTAGGCTGCAGTCAGAGGAGCACCGCATGCCGACATGTAGCCCTGAAACAGCTTCAGCTGACAGAGGAACACATTAAAATCATTCTGATCTTTGTATTTTACCAGTGATCAAATAACAAGCTGTCCACTTCCCTTCATCTAAACAGTAGTTCTAATACATCTTTCTCATTTCCCAAAATGGATCAATGAACATAACATCCTCAAACAAACCTTGTCTGGTTTCTCTTCAAGACCTGAGCAGGAATTTCTTTTTCTTGACTGTTGTGTCTACTTAGAAAACTATGAACTGCTACTGGTCTGCAGCGTTAGCAGGGCCATAAAGCGGGGTTGGAATAGAGAGAGACTTGTAAAAATGTCACAAGCAGATCGGTGGTACGGTTTGCTTTAACTCTAGAGGCTTTGAAAGCCTCAAAACAAACCCATTCAGGAGGCTCTGTAGATCTAAATGTGTCTGTTATTTAATATTTAATAGAGTAACTTTAGGTCTTCCATATTTAGTCCAGTGGACACCTACATGGCCGTGATGTTAGAAAAATAGAAGGAACTGGGAATTTGAGCATTATCAAACTCCAAAAATAAAACTTTGCACACAAATGAAACAAGTTACAACTTCTATTTAAGACACACCGTGGACTTTGTGACCTAAAGTGTTGACGTATATGAGTTATTTTAAATGATTTCTTAGGCCAATATTCAGTGCTTGACACTATCAATGGTACGAGCGTCATGTCACCTGGAAGACTGTATCACTTTATGGCAACAGGCTCTTATATTGTCATGGAGATAAGGCTTTTTCTCTACTATTTTTCCGTCTGCTTGACTACTGGTCATGGCTGAAAGGCATTGAGGAAAAACAAGAGTTGATCTTGGAAAGGAGTTTCTTCGTTTGCGCAGGCTGAGAGAAGAAGCTGGATGCAACCGGACCGTGCCAGACACAACAAAACCAGGCTAAACTAGTACTAGTTCAACCATGGGGGTCGGCAAGTTTTAGTTCAGGCTCGATTCTCAAATGAAAAAGAGCGCATGAGCAGACCGCATCATTCAATTTCATTCATACAATCAGCCTCCGTAATCATGAAATTTCCGATATTCATAAAAATAATAGCTTCTCTACCTTACCACACAATTTCCAGTGATGATTCTGCTTAGCAGTGTGATGATTGTAAACTCCTGTCGTTGTTTCCTGCTTTTGTAAGCCCTGATTAAACTATCGTTTGTCAAATCCACTCCCCAAAAGCCGACTCTGTCAAGTAAATTCACCAAAGGCTGCCATCTTCACCTGACTCTCCGCAAACGACAAAATATCCCAATTAGACTTAGGCAACTTTTATTTGCTGTATACGAAACAAAATTTGGTTAAGTACAGCTTTTCAGACAGTAAATAAACATTTCCATTCCATAAAGTGCAGCGGTGATGAAATGTAAACAGTGTGGGAGAAAAAAAACCCAGTGCCAAAAGCATTCATATGAAAGTTCAGAGCATTAATATGCATGGTGCATATATGCAGTATTTTTTGGTTTGGTGTTATCAGTGTGATGCAGAGTCAGCATTCAGCTGTCTGATGGCAGTCGGGAAGATACTGTTGCAGAATCTGCTGAACCTGCATCGCATGCTGCAAAGCCTCTTCCCAGGGGGCAGCGGGGAGAACAATTCATGGTGGGGGTGTGAGGGGTGACTGATGATGTTACGGACTCAGGACACACAGCACTAGGATGAAATGTCTTTAATGGAGGGAAGAGAAGCCCTCTTGATCCTCTCTGCTGTTCTCACTACTCTTCTCACCTTCTTCCAGTCTGAGGCGCTGCAGCCTCC